GTGCCTGTTAAGTTCACATCCAAGCTTTGAAACCCATGTAGGGATGATACAGATTGCAGTCGTTTGAAGAGATAAAGAGCAATTGAACAAGCTTTTTCAATTTTCTACATTTAATTGTGTATTATATAAATGTTTGTAACCCTAACAATCTAGCAAAAAGCAGAAATCCTCATTAATACCTCATACCTCATGGTATATCCGATCCTTGAACCTACAAAGAAGGATTTTTGTGCATGAGAAGCACAATCCTGGCAAGCTATTGGCCCTCAACCCTATCACATTCAGGAGATACCAAATGGCATGAACTACAGAGCCAACCCTATATGGGAAAAATTTACAGTCATTATGCTTGGAGAACCTGGCAGTGAACGATGTGGCTTTTCAGCCGGTTCCTGCCAGCAAGGCTAGACCAAAGATTTGTAACCAAGGTTTTGAATTGACCCTTCCCTGCTATAGTTTCCCATAAATGTTCAGCAGTAGCTCCCCTCAGATCATCAGATTTTGAAACGTCAACCAGAGATACACTCATATTATTTCGAATGATGCAAAGTTTTCCATTAAGTGGAACAAGAGCTGCTGCCTCCAAAGCCCGAGAATTGCCCAAATGTATCCTACTGTCAATATGCTTACTCCAAGAATCAGTCGCTTCAATCATAAAACCCTCAGCTTACAACCATCATTGCAGTCCAAAGCATAAAGGTGCCTGTTTAAGGAAGCACATGGGTTCCTCCCCAGCCTGCAACCATTCCATTATAGACAGGGTACCACTGTCAGTTTCCTGGTTGGTAGACCTCACTCATCACCCTGTCGATGAGATCCACGACCCTTCAAGAACCACTTTCCCTCGTATACAACCCCAATGAAGGGCACCATAGCTGTGCTCATATCTGAATAAAAGACCATCTATTCTTGTTGGGATCATAGACTTCAGCTGACCTCAATGACCGATGCACTCCCTCATTCTCTCCACCAGCAACATACAAGCAATTGTTTATAACACACGAACCAAAGAAATGTCTTCGACGAAGCATATCTGGGCACGGTGCCATTTATTTGTCCTGGCATTATAAAATATGACTCGTCGCATTGATCCCTTTAATGGATCCTTACCACCAAACAAATAAAGGTGACAACCACTGAGGACAGCACATCCAAACGCAAGGGCTTCAGAATATTCCTTAGGGACTGGAGGGAGTGGCTGCCAGAGCTGGTATATGGATCAAAGGCATGCAAGAAATTTTTCCATCTCGATCTCTCTTAATGACGTATATCCATTCTTCTGCAATTCCAATGCTCCTACGGAGTGAATAAAAGAAATTACCAGATAAAAGTCTATACCATCTTTTGCAGACCAGACGGAGCTTTCTGTGGTCAATACGGGGGACCCGTATCAGGCAAGCAATAGCAAGATCATCAGGGAGTCCTGGGAGCAAAGGAGACTGGTGACGGCTCCTATCACTGCGTGCTGCCTTGTTCCTTGTTGGATGAATGGATGGTTTAATATCAGGCTGGAGACAGAGTCTTGTACCAGGTACATATTTTTTCGCTCCAGCAACAGTTTTGAGTCCAGCATCTACTCTACATAAGCTCCGTTGTATCAACCCTGCCAAGACATTCACAATCCATGAGGGTTTTTTTCATAAGCACTTTCTTACTACAGTAACAGGAGCTCATAACATGCACTAGGTTGGTGTCAGCATCAAGAAAGACGTGCATACCGAGTCACCAAGGTGCCATGATAGAAAGCAGTTCTAGCACGTATAATCTGGATAATAATGTTTCACATTCAATTTTTTCTTTTATTGTTAAACCTAGATTTGAACATTCAAGCAACAATTACCATCTTAAGCAGATGTTGCACTTGTTTTTTGCAATCAGTATGATGATGTGCAAAAAACAGTATTGCAAGATCCAACCAACAATCTGAACCATTTGGGACCTATATATTGAGGTTAGTATCAAAATAGAAACCAAAGACAGTTTCACCATCACTCAAGGAACATGAGCCTTGAGTGGAAGTAACACGTTGCAGATTCCTCTTCCATTAAGTCCCACACAGATAGTATAAGACAGTCTCATACACAATCTCGAACCCACAAAGAGCACTGGAAATTGATAGAAAGCTCCTAAACCGAGAAAAAAAAAAATTTGAAAGAAATAAAATGAAAGAAAGCAGATTTTTAACTTTAAGGATAGGGATGCACTTTCTAAACTAATTGCACTGGCTCCTACAGGTAGTACCTTGGGCTCTATTGCAATCATTAGAACCCGGGAAAACCCCTTGAGTTGTTAAACTCTTTGGTTTTCACATTTTGAGTGTTACCATCCCCAAGGCTGCAAAAAATAGCAACTTTTAAGTTTAGATTTTCGGTCAAAGATATGATGGATGTGAGTTAGACAAACATGTTTCTGTGTAGATTTCTTATGTTATTATGGTTATGACTTCATCCGCATATAAGCTCGCACGCAAAAATACCATACCTTCAATAAGATAACAAATAAGTCTACTGGAGAATAATTTTAGAAAGAGGCTTCAACCAAGATTTGTAAACCATATATAACAGAAGGATGGTACACAATCAATCACAATAGTCAAAACTCAAAAGAGAGCTAAGGTTCCAGCCTATGAGAAATATGTGGTCCATGTAGTTTGACAAGTAAAAAATCAAACATAGAACGAATTGGACCACCCAGGCACAAGCACATCAAGTAGTTTGAAAGGCAAGCATTAGCTGTTATCATAAAAAACCATTAAACATCTCTTCAAACATATAAAATGATTGAATTTAAATCAGAAAGGAACGACTAATCAACTTACCAATGGAGGTTGAATCATTCTGTCCATGGTTTCCTCTTTCAACAACTAGCCCACACCAAACTCGCTACAACTCACCTCCAGAATCAAGCCCTATCTCTCAATCGTCATTCTTCGACCGAACAAACATAAACTACAAATCACAAATTTCACTATCATCATCACTTCACTTCAAAATTTTCCATTTTCAAAAGAACAATATCGGAGATCCATGCTGAACAAGAAGCTGCCTTTTATGTACGAAAAAAAAAGCTGACTTTTCATCTTAACAAAATCCACAACTTGAATGACAATCTTAAATGTAAAGGCCTAAACCTTAACGATCAAACACCTCAATAATCTCAAAAAGATGGAAAATTTGCAGATTGAAGGCCTGAAGGGAGCTCGGAGCTCAATAGCCAAAGTCAGCCAAAGTTTTGAATACCACTCATATCCAACAACTTTTACCAGGTAATATCCAAAACCTGAGTGTAAAATCAAAAACCCAAACACAAAAACCCCATAAAACAACCCGCCATGGTCTCAAAAGGGAAATACAGAAACCCCAGAAGCTTATCTTTTGCGCATTAAGAACTAAAAAAAGAAAAAAGAAAATGGCAAAAAAGAAAACTTAGGATGCGTTACAGCACAAAAAATGGGGGCAAAGAGAGCACTGAAAGAGGAGATAGAGTCCCATTATAATGTTTCAGTGGAGTTCAGGGCCCATCTACCTCAACGGCACAACCTACTAAGCCAAGAGTTTATTCAACGAGAGAGAGAGAAAAGCAGACCTAAAACAGTAAAAGGAAGAGAGAAAGAGCCTTAAATGATGACACTTTGGTGGTTTGTTTTATGGGAGAAGAGAAGATATGTTAACACAGCAACTTACATATAAGAAAATAGCTGTTGCCTGTTTATGAAGAATGAACACTCTTGGTTTTAGGACAAGGATTTTGTGAATTTTATTGTATCTTTCCTTTTTTTTCTGAGGGTTGGACAAAGATTTAAAACGAAAGACTGTGGTTCCCACATCTCCATAAAACGTAACAGAAGGGGTTTCAAGTACAGGTTGAACACCACATCTGATTCATTACACATCACCTAAGGTACTCCACAAAGGGCATTTTGGAGATTTTAGGATCTTGTCTGAATATGATGATCATTGATCAAACTGGGCCTTGCTTAGTAGATCTTCTTAGTGAAACATAAGATCACTGTGATTGGATTATGATAGCCATACATATAGCTATCCCTATCACACTCATATATATGCTTTTTGCTTTCTCTTTTCAGACTGTTCAGTTTGGGGCTACAGTTTTTTTGTTTTTGTTTCTTTTTTTACGGTGTAGAGTCATAACTTGGTGGCTTGGACTTTGGAGGACAAGATTTGATTAAAGATTTTTCCTTAACTTAATAGAGAACTCTATATGGTTATTGATTAACTTATTGGTTATAAACTCATAAGATTTTCTCCTCAACTTGTTAACTTATTATGTGTTGATAATGACTTTTAATTATAGCTTATAAACTCATACAATATAAGGATTAATATTTTTTATATTTTGAAATTTGTAATTATGATCTTTACACTTTTATTTTTTTGAACTTCCACGTACAACAACTAAATGATTCGAACTCAAAATTTATAATGTTGGTGTGCTTAACAAATTTTGGATTTCAATGAGTCAACTTTTGAATAACACATATTCAGAATGAATGGATAATTACATTTGTTTTTGTACACATATGAGGATATTTTTTTTCAAGATTATTATAACCATTAAATATGATAGTAGATGTAGATTAACCCTTTTTTTGTTTGAAAAAAAGTTTTAGCTATAACCCTTTTCTTCTTTAGATGTACTGTATCAGAATTGTGGATTAGGGCTCTTGCATGTAAGAAAATGTGTGCAAGTCAGTTATAGCATGTGTGTCTTTAGATACAATGTCATAAGTAATTTTGTTCTTCTGACCACACAATTCTTCATCATGTGGAGGCCATAGTAGCTGTCTGAACTACTTGTTTTATAATCATTACCCATTTTGAATAATTAAGTATTGATTACTTGGGGGTCAGTTTGGTTTTTAAAAACAGAGGATGTAATTAACCTTCAGGCTTAGCTTTGTAGTTTGGAAAATTGAAGTTCAAGCAATCTGTGCTTATTAGATCCCACACTATGCAATGAACCTTCTTGCATGGATGGGAAATTACTGAAGATTGGAGCTGGAGTGTTCCCTCGGAAAATCAAATTCTTTTGTACAAGTATGCAGAGCAAAAAGCATCATCCACTTCACCAAATAATTAAGATTAATGCAAGATCCAATGCATTGGATAAAAACACATCTCAGTAATAGATAGAGATAATAATTTTATGTACTACAGTAACATAATATGAAAATAATATAAAAAAATATAAAAATAATATGATTTAAAATTTAATAAAAATTATTTATAAATTTGATAAAAATACAAAAAAAAAATTCTTTTGTTTGGTAAAGAAAATAAAAAAACTAAAGATTTTACAAGATGCTTTTTTTTTTTTTAAAAATCAATCTAATTTATTTTGTACCTTTCATTCAATAAAAAATAAATTGATATAAATTTAATATAATAATTGTTTATATTTTATATATATTTAATGTGATACAAACACAATATAAATATATTAATTATCATATTAATAACACAGTGCAGCATTTCCTTATGAAAGGGAAAGGTGGCCGCCCGACTGTTCTATGCCCTATGGTTGTTGAAGACTTGGCCTATTATGCGAGACAGGGGTGGACTTTTCGTCCTATATTTAAGGTCTCCATGTAAGAATTTTCCTCTCCAAAGAAAAGACATGGTTGGACTTGGGCAACTAAACATAGTCTTTTGCACTGTCAGCAGGCTATAGTTTTATTTTTAGGGTTTCGTTTGCTGATATTGATTTGAACAATAAAAAACTGAAACCAGTTTGGCCAATTTATGAAGTCATCTAAATAGACACTTCAACCATTCCTCACAATCCAAAGAAAGTTCCAAACAGATAGTTTAGCAGAATATAGAAAATTTATCAAAAAATTATTCATGATCTTTCTGCAAAAACAGTTCATCATTATGTTAGATCCCTATAGGAAGTGTGAGCTTTCCATTGCATTTAGTGTTTATTTTATAATTGGCCATCCACAGCTTGACCTATGCCTTACATGGCATTGGCATCATGACAACAATATCTTCCCATGATACAAAAAGAAAAAAGAAAAGCATAAGTAAAAGAAAATCATACACCACTTTCTCGAATGAAAACACAAAATTTAAGTAAAAAATCAGGCTTCTGCATGCTTTGTGGTGGAAATGTATTTGAATTGATTGATGTTGAAGAATGCAACTAAGTTTGTCGATTTCAACTGAACTTACTTGTACAGAAGACAATTATAGGAAAAAAAAAACCATGTTCTCTTTGGATCTGATCTTTTTTCTACAAAGGTCTCCCACCTTTTGCTTCCTCTTCCACAATAACATCCTGTATTAGACAAATGAAAGGATTAAGATAAACAGACTGGTGATGCAAATTCTTAAGAATTATTCTGAGCACTAAGGTGAGAATTATGATGCTGAAATGCCTTTCCCTATTTGGGGGACAAAACATGGTTGAGGGTCTTTTTCTGGGGTTTTAACAAAGTCATTGTTGTGGGGTTCACATTTTTAACTTTCTCATACAAATTCATCAATTGGTCGTCATCTATGGATCCTGAATAAAGCTATGGTTATAAATCCAGGATTAACCATTTTCACCCAAGTGGGCTTTTCTTTTTCTTTCTTCCCTTTGAACTGTTCAGATAGAAAAGACTTTAGGCCACTTCAGATCAGTACAGCACCATGATCAATCCAGAATAGACTCCAAGTGAAACTCATCTAAGTTTGCTTAAAATCACTCCATGTGAAAAAGAAACAATTCCTTTTTAATTCCCTTTTAGAGTTGTTTAAACTGAAAATCAATCTTGAAATATCCAGGAGTTTGTACTTTGTGGGTGGAATGTGGATTGAATAATTTCCTTTGCCTGTTGCCATTGAAAATTAGCCTTGTGAACTATGTAGTTCTAATACTTATCATTTTGACGACTTTTTTTTTTTAATTTGAATTTATTATATTGATTTGTTTATTTTAAATTATTATGTCATGATTTATATAGATATGTGAAATAACAAGCATATTTTTTAAAATTTTATCAAATTTATATATAATTTTTATTAAAACTTTAAATCCTTTAAAATATAACCAAAATTTTGGACGGATTCAAAGAATATATACCTACTACGTGAATTGTAGATACTGTACAGATAAAGAAGGATTCTTTTCAAATTGTTTCTCTGTCTTTATCTGTTCATCATTTTCTTCTGTCCTTAAAGAAGACAAGGTTTACAAGACATATTGGAGTTGATGAAGTGTCTATTCAACACTGTTTTCTTCCACTTTTTTTTTTAATGGCTTCAATTAAAACTAATGCTGTCGACAGCTACAGTTCATAGAAATTAATAAATAAATTGAAATTGTGAATGGCACACATTTGTAGCATTTGCGACCAACCAGAATTCCAACGCTTGAATTTTTCTTTTTCTTTATTTTTTTCCCAGAAAATGCCAAGCATTAGTTATTCATTCTCTCACGAGATTCTTATAAATTGCTTTCATTCATGTTATTAGTCGATGATTTGTGGACTGAGTTTCGTTTGATTGACGATTGATAACGCAACTCCACTTGCCATTATTTTTTTAAATGAGTGAGCATTGTCCAATTCCACTCGGTCTAAATCCAAGATAAAAAATATTCAAAGCCATGTCAGGCTGAGGTTTTCTCTTCCCAACTTGGGAAGTTGGGATATGATCATTTGATTCTCATACTTTCTGATTTTCAAGAGTTTAGCTATTACTCTATTTTCTGATTTTTCAGTCTTCAAATTAGGCAAGCTCAAGCCTGTTAGCGAAGAGTCATAAAACAAAATGATCGACCACTTGCAACTGAACAACAAAGGAAAAATGAAACAAGAGATGGGTGATTTTAGAAAGACGATAACAAGAAAGATAAATTTTCAGATTGTAATATGAAAATCAAGCTCTTTTCGTTGTATCCTCTTCATTTCAGATAAGTATATACTGCAGAAACAGAAGGGTAATGCCCTGCAGCAGGGATTTGGTTCAATACAAAAGAGTTTCTTCTGAAAGAACAATCCTGTCTATCACTAAATGATGCCTCAATATCATCAGATGAACACAAAAGTTAAAGTAGATGAGACCTGTCCTCCAGATTTGATCATAGTACGCAAAATCCTAAGATGCAATAACAAGGTGCACCAAGCACCATCAAGGCAAGGTTGACATTTTGATGTAAATTCAGACTGATAAAGACAATTAGCTGTATCATCAGCAGCACCAATAGGGCACAAAATGTCATGAGAAGCAAAGGCCGAAAGCTAAAACAATTGCGGTCAATAGCTGATGCTGCCAACCATCCATCTTTTTTATTTGTATTTTCATGTAAAGTTAGTACTGTGTCTTTATACCACTACGCTTAATCCATGCGGAAAAATCATTTTGTGGCCTCAATTTCTCAATCATGATATGAGGGTATACGACCAAGCCAGCCATAAACAGCGTAAACTGCAGAAGCACAAAATAATAATTAGACAATTTCCACAGGAGAAATATTGGTCAATTGAAAACAACAAAATCAATGCCATGAAATGTACCAGAAGAGGAAGGGTCAAGAAACCCCATATAGGCCACAGAGCAAAGCAGAGCCTGCATGAAAAATGTTGGCAATACGTGAAGAGGAATTGTATACATGCCACCCAACAAATCTATGAAGAAATAGCAAAACTATTTTCCTTACAAGCAAAAGGAGACAAGTCCAAGCAAGGTAAGATACGGCAAAGCTGTAATGTTTAACCATTCCCACTTTTCATCAACCCTCCTTACAGTCCATGCCAACATACTTGTATAAAACATGATGGCAAGATTCAATCCAGTCCCTAACAAGCCAAGGTATAAAGGCATTCTGCACAGGAAATAAATGACATAAGATTATTGATACATATAAGCTGAACCACACCCATGAATACATGTACAATATCTCAACGTTAAGCAACCACAAACTGAATATGAATAAAAAAAAACATTACTTCAAACTGCAAATGGAGCAAATGTTGCAACTCATAACTAAAAGCATTATTAGGACCATTCAAAAGTTAAGCCAGCCAGTTGATGAAAGAACAATGAAATAATCATGTTATCACAAAATTTACCAAAATAAATTAAATTCTGATTGTCTGCTAGATTAAAGAGACAATTTATCAATTGTATGTTAGATAAATTGGAAATATGCTCAAACCAGTTAGGGTTTAATTTAACAGCCCAGAGAAGATAGCTGGATGAATGTTAATGATGAATGGAACGAAGCCTTGGGGTGAACCACAAACTCTTTTCATTCTCTAATTTAACATAGGAAAGTTTAAGGGAAAAGGAAAGAAGAACAGAAAAACTATCTAATGTCAAAGGGGGCAAGATGATACAAGAAATTTTATGTATGATATCATTGAAGAAAGTCAAAAGAAGAAAAAGTTGACTTGCTTTTTGCACAAGTTCAATAATTTAAGACCAAGTTCTAACATGCCCATTCTAACTTCATTACTTTAGGAGGTGATCACTGATCATGGTGGCACTTTCTTGATAGTAGAACTGGATGAAGCTTGATCCATAACTTTTATTAGGCAATTGACAGAACCCAGTAAATTTGTGTTTAAATGCAAAGATTCTGACAAGTAGGCTGTTAGTTACTTTATAGGATGAAACTTCACTTTTATAGCAATGTGTTCAACATGTCCATATATCTGGCAAACATAATGTCAAAGCCATGTAAGGGCACTTAAAATGCATGATCCTGCATGATTACAATATTCATACATTTGGATCTCTCTGATCTCAAAAGTTAAAATGATTTATATCATGAGCTATACTCTGGTTCTGTGACATAATAGATTGTAGAGAATGATATGTGCAGCACGGCTTACAAGGTGATACTAGTAAATTTCTAACTTAGTAGAACAGGAGAACCAGCTAGATAAAATATATTTGCCTCTAGTTTGTCTAGTTTCATATCCATTATGAAATCCCTGGTTAGAAGAAGCACTTCTCCCATTTCAGCTACAATTTCAAATGACTCCAAACCACTTTGACTTTTGAACCCATTGAAGCACCATTTCGAACAATCAGAGGAACCCTTTGGAATTGTTATTTTCAATTTTAACTAGTTTCTCTGATTTCAACTACAATTGTAATTAGCTCCAAGCACTTTGACATTAAAGCAACCCAAGCAAACGTGATAATGAACCTCGTCAAGGGCCATGATAGGTTTTCAGATACCTTAATTATATAGAACAGGATATTAGCAATAATTCAACGGACAAACAACAATATTCAAGCATCATAAGCACTTAAATAACAACTAAATCTCATAAATCATAATAAAATGCAAAATATGAGTATTCTAAACCACACTTAAGTTAAAATTCATCAAGTCAGTTACCTTCTGATTCGATCATCGTGCCACAATAGATATATCAAATTGGAGTGCCTATCACCAAAGTAGATAATGAACAATGCTGAACTAACCCAAAGCACATTCTCCAGAATCTCAGTCCAACTTCTAGTTCTCGGAGTTGCCAGTGACAAAGGCTGTAACCTTGAGCAAGCATCATCCTCAAGGTCCTCATTGCCTGATGCATACCCTTGACTATGCCTTTGCCTCATATATCCACCTGCAACTGGTGTCCCACTCCCACCAGACATTTTTCACCCTCACACAAGATTAACCCCCCAAAAAAAAAAAAAAATCTTTTCAAGAACTAAAAACCACTTCCTCGAATGGAATTTCCACAAAGAATCTTGTGAGATGTGCCCTTTCTACTGTCAAACCCTTGTCCAATGTCAAAATCACAACCTTTTTTTTAATCAAAATTCTAAGGAATTGAATAGAAAATTCAATAAAATTCAATGAAAAATGAAACCCACAGGGAAAAAGAAGGTACTCAAGAAACCCGGATAGCAATTTTCAATTTTTATCATCTAATAAAATTCAATAAAAAATCTAAAAAATGAAAAATGAGAGTATTACTACAAACCCATCAACAAGCCCCACAAAATCTCAAAAACCCAGATACAGATTCAGCTTTCTCCTCGACACCTCCGTAATAGTTTCCCTGATTCTAGCCATCAATACCCAAAAAAAAAAAAAAAAGGGAAAAAATGGTGTAACAAATAATATTCAAAAAGGTCAAAATATGTGTCGTTTTACGGGTGGGTGACGACAAAAAAGGATTGATAAGAGGTGAAAGGCTGAAGTCATGACTGATGAAGTGATTCGTTTCTTGTACTTAAAAGAAAGAATGTGTTTATTTTTTTGAGAATTTTTTATAATAATAAATCTAAACGTGGTGGTTAACCTAAAACGAAGTCAATGATGATTGATGATTATGGGTTTTGTGATCACGTCAGGGTGATATTTGATTACGTGGTGAGAGTCGATTGGTGGGAATGTGGAGTGTCAAAGCTTTGTTTCTTTGGCTTTGACTTTGCATAAAGGGAAGAAGGGAATGGAAGGTCTTTTGTGTTTTAGTTTAATTGCTTGAAAGCAAGATAGGTTGGCCACCATGATTATCCTTCAATTCCCTGCCGAATTAAAGGAATGTCGTTCTTTCAAATTCAGCTGGACAGACGAGAATTGGTTAAGATTTTATTAATCAAAAGTTGTAGTAATGCATTAAGAAATTGGGAAGTTGAGTTATAGGTGCAAAGCACATGCATTTTTTTAACCATTTCAAACTTTTTGGATCATTTCTTTGGTTAGGTTTTTTTGGATACTACGGATACCATTAATTCAAGATACAACTCATATTTCTGTCTTTATTTCCGAAAGGGGAAAACCGAATCTTTTTTTTTTATTTGCCAAATGAGAGATTCGGTTTTATAATTTGAATAAAAAATCATGCATTTTTTTTAATTATAAAGAAAATTATATGTACATGAAGTCAAATTTAATCCTTACAGGGAAGAATATAAGTGAAATAAAAAAATAGATAACCTGAAGTCACGAAGGATTTTCATAAAGCATAAATGATAAGTCAGGAGGCCTTTCCAGAGAGGCTGCTTGAACATGAAGGTACGTTCTGGTAAATTTGATGCAATTCTGGCCAATTCTTCTTTGTTTGTTGTTTGAAATGAAAGTAACATTTTTTTTTTGGTGAATAACAGATGAAATGAAAGTGACCTAACCTGGGATTATTAATGTTGTTCCTTGTCGGGCTTCTTTGTAGGAACCTGTAATAAACTCCGAGCTGTAACGTCAAACCTGTAACAAATCAATAAGCTAAAGTGCTCCATCCCAATAGCTGGCCAGAAAAGATCAACCAACGGTTAGAGACAGAAACAGAGTGTGGAATCTTGACTATTTGGAGAAGAAAAAACAAAAATGGACAAATCTACCGAAGATGATTGAAAAGGATATTGTTGACTTTGATTACACTTACTGAATACTCAATTCATCATCATTAATTCTAATCCAACTGCCAATTTACAACAATCTATGCAATTAGTGGCATTAAAGTCAACTATTAGTGAAGGGAACCAGAGAATGAAATTAATTGCATGATCATGCAGAAACTAATATTACATGTAATGTTGATTTGTGTATAGAAATCATTAGAATGAGATGAAATATTGATGAAACTTAACAGGCTCAGTGGTTTAAAGCTCCACCGTACAAGCTGACCGCGTCCATCAATGTTGAGTATAATACATCCAAAGTTAAATGCCCCAAAAACTTTCTATACTTAGATGCACCATCATATATGTCCATTTGAAGTTTCCAATCCTCTGCAAATCCATCTTCCATTACTAACCACCAAGAAATGCCACCTCGAATGTCTTCCAGGTCCACATGGGCCACCAGGCTAAAAATCTCTCCCTCAGTCCCTGCTCTACCTCAAAAGTCAAGCATAGAAAACCGCGATTTCCTTTTATTCCAACCATAAGAGCTTCCTCTTGAAGCCAACGAATAACATGTCTTGCAATCTGTGGCTAGCGTCGATGACATGTCAATTACATGGAAGGACTGTATCAGCAAAATATCTAGACATGAACACATGCATTTTTTAATCACACCTCCAAAGGAATGAGAGTAAACGAGATGAAATAACAGCACACAGTCCACATTAAACCCACCAAGTAACCAGAGTTAATAGCACAATTAATTCGTGATCATGCAAGAACCTATTTCATTACCAATAAGTAAAAATTATATTTGGTAGGAGAGAAAATTTGGGGCCTAGTGGGTAGAAAATGGAAGGTAAAAACCATTTTTCTATTGCTTGGTAGGAGAGAAAGCTGAGAAAAGAGCAATCATGAGAAATTGGGCCATATTTCTTACACTGAGAAAAAAGCAAACAACTTTTACTTTTACATTTACATATCACTTTCTCATCATGCTTCTATATCAGCAGCCCCTGCTTCCCCTTTAAGCAGAGGCACCTTTGTCCACATTATTGTCTAATCACTTTAATCTAAGTAAGCGCTCAGGGTAATCACATTATTGGTGCTTACACAAACAAGTAGGGCGAGGAATTTGCTCATTAAGTTTCTATGCATAAATTATTTTGTCCTCATTTTGATTATGATAATATAAAATCTTTAGTTTTGCACAAACATAACTTAAATCATCTGAACCACCAAGAGTGAGTAGACAGTTGTTTCCATTAAGGTATAGCTTCCATTCCATATTTTAAATTTGCTACAATTACAAAAGATATGCTATAGCAAGTAATTCAGCCAATTATGTATCACCAATGATTCGATTTATGCTTTGGGGAAAAAAAAAGAGAGTACATTCAGACATTTGCAATCTGATAGTAACATAATCTACTTCAAATAACTGAGTAGCAAACATTTAAAATTTCTTATTCCAATGTTAGGTTGTTACTCAGCCTCATTATGTTAATTGTATATAGATATCTAATGAGATGCAGATCATGTCAGCATCAACAGTCAATTTAAACCTTCATAAATAGTGGTCCCAGAATAAAACTTGGGGATGTCATTCATAGAAATTGAGAAAGGTAACCTACCTGCTGCAGTGTTATAACAGGAAGATCAGCCAAGTTACGGTCATATTTGTTTACAGAACATATGTCCTCAGAACTTCTTTTGAACAAGCAAACAACATTAGGAGCACCTTCCCCTTCAACACTGATACTATCATCATTCATCACCACCTTGGTACAGAATTGTAACTTTACAGCATCCTTCATGTTCTGGAAGTCTGAATTCAGGGATTGGAGCACTGCATGAATAATTGACTGAGGAACTTTCATAAAGATTGGCCAGGAAGATGTACGAGAATGCCAAGTGGGATGGGTCATCAAATGGAGATACAGGATTCTGCAAACCTACAAATATCATAGAAAATTATATTAAGAAACAAGAACACTAAAATCTAAAGAAAACTTGCACTAATCCTTGTCAAATGATTAATGAGGAGAATACCACATTTTCTAGCTCCATAAGAACTCTGTTCAAAAAGATTCTGTGAGCCAGAGACAGACAGAAATGACCCAGAAGATCAGATCCATCCTTTCCTGATTGACCAGATACTCGAGTACCAGATAAATTTGCTCTATGCTTTGCTTTTACAAATGGATGTCCATGAACAATTTGCTGCAGATAAATTTCAAAGCTGATACGATTAGGGAAACCCCATTTCTTTTTAGGAGTAAAAAGTTTTTGTTCTCCTAATTTCGCATCATCATATGAGTCCACAGGTACAATTGCAGATTCTAAATTCTGGGTATTAGCAGTGTCAAAAGCCTGATCATCACCCTTACTAGATGGCACAAGTGATAAGAACAGAGAGGTTCCTTGACCTATGCTTAATTGTAGATAATTTTCTTGTATTCCAGTTATACTGACTCTGACAGATTGGTTGAATGCTTCACGATTCACCATATCAAACAACCGAAGCGAAGCAACAGAATAACAGTAAACAAATGAAAGCATGTTAAGGTCATAAAAAGTAAGAGAAACAAAATCTACCTGATCGTTGAAGATTGACTAACGAACTTCATGAAGGAGCAAATGTGTTTCTTTGACACAGTCATCATCACTCATTGATTCTTTCTTGGTGTCTCTTGTGGGCTGCTCAACTGAGCCTTGGGTCCTGATCTTCCTTGATTCTTTTGGGATATCAGCAGAATGCACACCAAGAAAACCAAACTGAAGGGACCAACATGAATTTGGAGGTAAGTGACAGTCAGCATTCCAGCTGAATCATGTTCGACACGAATGGTACGTAGAGAAGATGAGCAAGATATTGCTGTCAAATCATATAATGAATTATCGAAAAGATCAATGGTGAAGCCTTCATTGCTAGAAGCTGGAGATGCAACTCGTTGTCGTTTAACTTTCCAATTTTCCTGCAATCTATTCGCTTGTTAGGAAATAAGAGAAATGGAATATGTAGAAGAACAAGGCTTGATCAATACAAATTGCAAAATGAATATTCTTCTAAATGAATGCAGAGAGGGATAAGTGATTAGAGCACCATAAAATCTTGCTTCCCTAGCAATCTGTTGTTCCAAAGCTTTGGCAGACTGTTTGAAGTATTTACACAGATGCTGCAATATAGAAATAAAATTCAATAGGAAATTCACAATATCATTCTGATACCAAGACAAATAGGCATAATCGTAATTATAATCACATATTTTATACCCGGTAACATTGTAGCTTGGTTGCAGCAGATACAGCAAGATCAGGGAGGACCTCATTAGGTATTGGCTTTAGCCTGGTCATGCCAGTCACTGTTACAGCATCATTAGCTTCCACATTTCAAAAAAAGAATAAACACTATATTCAAATGTCTTTTGAACTTTCTATATCCAGGAAAAAGGAAATATAACCACGCAAAGATGCTAAACAAAAACTTCAGATATAGCTTTAGAACTTACTAAATCAAAAGAACTGTTTTCTCAGATTCTGTTAAGCCTGTTAACCTCGGAACTCATTCATTCAAGAATAAAGACAATGATGTGGCAATGGAACACCAAATTTCAATTCTTAATTTTTAGCATTAAACCCTAAACCCTAACCCTAATCAAGTGAAATTTAAATATACAATATACATGGTTTTACTTCTGTATGGAATTAAGAAAGAACTTAATCAGACAGAGAAGCTTACGGAGGGTATAGTTCGAGGCCATTTTCTTCGATGGCATCGAGTCGTATAGCCGGGAGCCTATCCAAGGATATTTCTAGGTTCCCGTCCATATTTTTTTTACCCGGAAAATCGAAGGGAAATTTTTTGAATCAAGCCCTAGAAGAAAGGGTTTGGGTTTCAGGCTTTCTAAGATTTAGACGAAGTCCAATTTACCCATGGACTTTAGGTTTGACAGATGGATATAGGCCTTTTGTTTAAGTAGGTTAATAGAGGAAAAGACCAGTAGCAGCCCCGGCTTGGATACGTTTGTTTGTTAGGTGTTTTTAACCCAAACCCAAACGATCGAAAATTTTGAATTTTAAAAACCCAAATCAAATTTTGATTTTTGAGCATTGACTTTGGGACCAATTAAGATATATATCCCAATTTCCATTTATTTTTTTACCGAAACTGAAATGAGAAGTTTGATGACCTGCCTAGTTATGGCCTCCAGCAGGAAACACATTAATTTGCACAATCAGTGATATAAATAAGTTGAAATGCCAGTGATTCTGCGTTTGAATTAGATCAGCATTCTTGCTTGCATTTGGGGGATTAATGATAAGGAAGAAACAAACATCAATCCAATGAATGAAAACATGGCAACCAGTAAAATTTTTTAATGCAAAACACGTTTTGTCAATCTTAAAAAATTTATTAAGGCACCACAATTAACCAAAAACGACACCGCAAAGTATACCGAAAAATATTCATCAGATCAGGATTAGCCTCGCTAGCGTGGCAGCTGCCTTGGTGCTTTGCATGACAATGAATCTACAATAAACTAGATAGCGTAGTGCCTGCTGGCTGCTATAACTTTAATTAATTAAATTTTATCCAACTCAATAGTGAAGCTATGAAACTTTGAAAGGATCAAGCTGTGGGAAACAGCAAAAACAATTGGGTTTCTTGCAGAATACACATTGTCTCTCATCAGAACCAATTGTCTGACGATTATTGTTTGTTTTATCCATGAATAGCCTTGACCTGGTCAAGAAAGTTCTCTCATCAAAATCAAACTATAGGAAATTATCGTATAGGATATATTTGTGGAATCTACGTGTGATTTTGTGATGATAAGATACGGATAAATCTTGTTCTTAACCAAACTTGGAAGAAAAGGGATGAAAAAGAAAGGGTCAGAAACAGAAAGAAAAGCTCATGCGCGTAGAAAACAACCCTTTTGTCTTGTATAAATAGGTGCAAGGTATAACGTTATCCAATCTCCACATCTCTTCATCAAATCTCCTTACTCGTTTTCCTACAATTCTTTAACTTCCATTACTTAAATCTTCTTTTTCTCTTTGTAACATTAATCTCTGTTGCATTTAGAAAATTTTTTTGTTTCAATTGAGCCAAAGAATTAAGGCAGAAAAACATGGAGAATCCTCTGCAGTTGAAGTGCTTGAATCACGTTTCACTTTTGTCCAGATCAATTGACAAATCTCTTGATTTCTATCAGAATGTTCTTCAGTTTTATCCTATCAAGAGACCTGGTTCCTTTGATTTCTCTGGTGCATGGTAATTGACCTTTCTAGACAACATTCTTGAAATCACAAAAAGAACAAAAAAGAAACCCCTTTCTTTCTTGTCAAGTTTTTTCCTTAAACTTCTGTTTTATTATATATTCATTCATAGTTTTCCGATTTTGACAAGGATAGGTTGTTCAATTATGGCATTGGCATCCATCTTCTCCAATCTGAAAACCCCAATAACATGCCTAAGATTGGCCGTATTAATCCCAAGGGCAATCATATTTCTTTCCAGGTATGTAATGTCATGAGTTTTATCATTGACTGATCTGGATTTGGATACTTCATATGATTTATAAATGCATATGTACTGAAGTAATTCTTGTTGGCAGTGTGAGAGCATGGCAACAGTGGAGAAGAAATTGAAGGAGATGAAGATAGAATACGTGAAGGGTGTTGTAGAGGATGGTGGAATCCGCGTTGATCAACTCTTCTTTCACGACCCTGATGGCACCATGATTGAAGTATGCAACTGTGACAACCTCCCTGTGGTTCCACTGCCTCAAGATGCCATGCAGACATGCTCGCTGATCAACTGCAACATTCGACAGAGGCAGCAACAGCAACAATTACAGCAGAATAGTGAACAAGCAGTAAAAATCTAGTGATTTTCTAGGAGTCATGGAGGTGAGAATCTACATTAATTTACACTTGTATGTAGCTCAAACACACCGAAATTCATTCAGCATAAACATCTAAGTGTAACCAGTTAGTTAATTGGAATCAAGTAACTCTTCAATTGTTGTCTGTACAATAAAGTTACCAGCCAAAAAGATTGTAATAGAAACTAGCTACTACTATTACTTTCGAAGTGCAGAAAGACACTGAAGAAACAGAAGACAAATGCTTTTCAATATGAACACACTTCAAAAGTCCCTACTACATGAATTAGCTGGACTGGACACCAATGATAAAAATGTTTTGATCTTGACATATAATTCAATTCTGACAGCTTGATAAAACGTCATTTTCTGATAATGAAGCTCAGGGGGAGGTATGCCTTTTCTTATTAAAGCTTCATTTAAAGTAGCAAAAGAAGAACTGAAAGTTACACCAGAAAACTGAAAACATCATATCCAAAGTTTTATCTGATAACACCTTATTGTTCATGTACCATTGAAATGTTTGTTCATAACAAATTAAAAGAACTGGGTTTTTTTCTTTTCTTGCCAATGACCAATAATCAACCACAATCTCAATAAATGTTTTTTTTTTTTTTTTTATAATGAAGTTCGTAGCCTGGAACAGGGTAAAAGGTTGCAATTATAGGAATTTGAATCTTATAAATTATGGATGTCAATACCACCCCTTAAGAATGACTGTATGGATCAACGGAATTAGATCCGGCTTCATTCTATTGTGTGATGCTTTTAGCCCACAACATTCCTGCAAACAAGGGGGCCATTAAAAGCTTTGGAAATTCAAGCCCCACATGAAATAAACTTAAAAGATTATTATTCTAAAGATAAGCAACCAGAATCCAAAAACTTCCATCAATTTTCCTCCAACAGATATGGCATTCCCACTCCCCACATATTCATGTCATGCAAATTTATTATAGTAATTTGGAAACATATAAATGTGATTGCATGATTTTTAAGGTCCATGGCTTCACTTCTGGCCAAAATTTTGGGTTTATGAGGATCACATTGAACGGCCATATTCTCAAAATCTTTGACAATGAGAAACATTATCCCATATTTCTTTATTGTAATTGGAGAGGATTGAAATTATCTTGGTTTGATTCACGGACATGGATTCAACTTGGGTTCTTTGAGATCATTAAATAATCTATATTGATCATTTCAGATACAACCCGAATTGATAAAATAAAATAATACTAGTATTTTTTTTTTCTAAGTTGACAATTATACAAAAATCTTTTTATTTATATAAAAAAAGAAAGAAATGCACATGCTCTGCTCTTGTTTCTAAGTCAATTTACTGAAACCGAGAGAACGTTGCACTGTTAATCGTGCTACGATGAAACTAAAATAATTGTAGCCATTCTCTCCTTTGGTTATCTTCCAATTTTTTAATAGCCAACTACTGACATGCTCATAAATAGAATACCTAAATTGAATCTATGTGGTCCAACCACAAATGGTCATCTATGCGAGTCATTGCCATAAAAAAGATTTAGGATAAATTAAATTATCCTATCTTGAACTAAAATTTAATGTCAAAAGTTTTTCCCTAATTTTATGATTTCATTTTTTTCTTTAAAATTATTTTTTTTATAATAGATGTGGCTGGTATTTTTTTTTAATTTCAAATTTATTAAATATTATTTTTTTATAATTATATAAACCAATTAAATTATAAATAAAATAAAATACGTTTGATAGTTCAATGTATAAATGTTAATAAATTGTGAGAAAACAAGTTTTTCTCAAAAACAAAGAACTGGTGGCTATGAGAAATTATGCGGCCACCTGGTAGTTTTTTACTTTGAAATTAAAATTATTAATTAGAACCATCGTTTTATAACAGGTTGCAAACTCATCCAGAACTATGTGATCGTTGATTTCTGTCGTTTATTACCAGAATTACACCCGTCATTATCTGCATATACATATACCATGTTTGGTTCTCATAATTAATTATCCAATTTGCAGCATAAATTTTGGTCTAATTATAAAGTTTTTTTATTAGATTCTAACTCTGTACTCTCATTTGCTATAAATACAAGAAAGAAAGTGACAGTTCCTTTAGATAGGCTATGGAAAGAGGCGATGGAGTAATGTAGGATGAGGGGTCCATGTGGGTGCTGGCTCTGCAGAAACAAACTCATTGGAGATAAATATGTCCCAAAACTCCAATCAAGTTCAACCACATAGACCAAATTGCAAAGAAAAGAAAAAAAAAAAAAAACCATCAAATCTCTTCAAAGCATCACCACCCTTTTGTTTATCCTTGATCACAGGCCATAACACATGGTTTGCTGCTATAAATTATTCCATCCACTTTCTAATCATTATTATTAAGTTATTATTTGTAAGGGTATTCTTTTTGCCTACTGATTCCAAACGCCTCCCTTGCTCACATTATTTATATATTTCTGCACCTTGACTTAATAGAGTAGAACATTAGAAGCTTTCTAAGAGAGGAGAGTTTGAGAAAGATTAATGGCTACCAAAGAGAGTAAGCAGAGGAAGTTAGGTGGTTTCTTGAGCACTTTCTACAGGTTGAGTACTAAAAGTCAGAAGCCAAAACGCGAGCCTGCTGCAATGGTAAATAACAAGCCTGTTTCACAGAGTTTGCTGTTAAAGAAATTGGAAATTTGTCAAACCATAGAGCAGGCTGGCCAGAAAGGAGTGGAAAATGAAGGAATTGGAGGAGGAGGAGGAGGAGGAGGAAAGGTTGTTGAAGGAAGGAAGTCTGTTTCTCACGTTGAAACGAATTTGTCATCAGTGATTTCGTTTCTTCAGGTAAAGGTTTTGGTTTCTGACATGCCTGGATTCATGCAAGTGCATGCCTTCCGCTGTGCCAGGAGAACTTATGATAGCTTGGAGAAGTTTAGCTCAAGACACATGGCTTATAACATGAAGAAGGTATGTTTCAAAAGCTAGTTCTTTCACTAATACATATTGTACATTACCTCATTATTGGGAGATTGATATTTCTGGGGAAAAAAAGAATGACGGGCAAACTTGGAAAAAGAAAGAAGTTAATCTATTCACAATTGTAGTGGCAATGGCAAAACTAGCTATCTAGGTAGATTGAATTGTTTGTGAAAATTTTCTTGCGGGTGTTTCTTTTTGGATTTGCCTAGTTTGAATGATTGAGTTTTATTAATGGAACCCCACAAGGAAGGAGACAACACCTGCACGACTGATAAACTATGACTTTCTTTCTGATATGTTTCTTTCATCAGAATCTAATGAGTGTTCAGGTCACATGGAACCATTGACTAGTAGTTTTTGCCATTTCTTACAATCTTGAAAATGAAAATTTTCACTGTAATAAAATTAATAAGTTAAATTGTGAGAAAATTTTGCTCCCTCTAGTAACCAAAGGAAAAAAAAAATTTACTTTCTGATCTGTTGCCCACCTAAATCAGTTATGGTAGTCTGTTTCATATAGAATTTTGGGCTTTTTACATTTAACTATGTTTGAAGATTGAAGTAGATCCAGTCAATTTTCAAACCTCAAGTATGGGAATCCATAGTGAGATCAGATCATGATCCAACAGACCATGTGTAAACAGCCAGAGAACCTCAAACTCAAACCAGTATCATATTCTAATAATGAAATCGTATTCTTTTTTTTTCTCCTTGAGCCATGTGTAGAACAATCAAACACTAGTATATGTCAAAGTCCAATCTGTCTTGGGTTTTAATCATTTGATTACCTTCTTTCTGTCGAATATATTTTTCTCATGGTTGAAAATTTTTGCATGCAGGAGTTTGATAAAGTTTATGGACCGGCTTGGCATTGCATTGTGGGCTCAAATTTCGGCTCATTTGTTACACACTCAACAGGTTGCTTTCTCTATTTTTCCATGGAGAAACTGTATATTTTAGTGTTTAAAACAAAAGTTCAGAGGGTTGCAAATTGAGTTTAATCAAATATAGATACCTGCTTTTTCTTTTCTCTAGTTCTTAATTATTTTACCAGCATGGTAATTTGTATTTTCCTCTGCATCAAGTTTGTAAATGAAAGAACATTGTAAAAGTGAACATTAAGTGAATCATCTTTAAAGTCAATTCACTTTGTATTTTTCTGTTCCTCCTGGACTTTTTTTTTTCTTATTCTGAAAGAGGGTAAAAGTGAAAATTGGAGCCTAGATCAATCAAGGCATGATTTCCAGCCAGACCTGACCCCCTTGGCCCCTCTGTGGCTGCTGATAGATTGAGAGCTAGCTATGTTTTAATGGCTGGATTGATTTGTCCTTTACATAACTCCCAGAGCAGAGAGGGGTCTGAAATTTTTTTGGTCTTTACAAACTCAAATGCATAAAATTTTTAAGACCAAAACTATAGAAAGGTATTAAACAAAAGAAATCAACACAAAGCTCTGAAAGAAAACCATCTCTAGAACAATATCCCATGAAACATAAGATGTTGAAAACAAACCAAACATGTAAGTTCGAGGTTTGTGCTGTTATACACCATTTTTTTCTATTTCACAATATAATTTTCAACTGGAATTCTCCATGTGAGGAAATTTAACCCCTAAAAAAATCACACATAATTGGAATTGGAATGCCCTCTAGCATACTCAGAACATGTACAAAATGAAGCTATATATATGATCATGACTTACTTTTGTTTGATCTTCTTTTCTTGGTTGCGACCGGTTTGCCAAAAACCCCACAAAACCCACAACCGGAGACCTTAGGGGAAGGAGGGTCCACGCTAGGCGATGCCGCATTCATTGTCCGGTACATATGTCCACCGCCTCCGTCCGATTGGCTACGTCTTATCATATTTTCTTGATTGTTATTATTATTAAGATTCATTCGGTTCAAGTCTCCTGATAAAAACTTGTCATTCCATACTAACCCCGACGACCCTTGTCTCCTAAACGACGTTGTAGACCTTTGTAAACCACTCATCTCCATCTCTTCTTTCCTTCTTCTAATCTTCTTCCTCCTCTTCTCCTTCTTGTTTCTATGGAATTAATTTATATTGAGCTTTTTATTGGTCGGAAGGTTGAGGCTAAAGAGATTCGACTTCTTCAATGTGCTGTGTGAGTATATAAAAGACTGGAAAAATGGGAAAATGACAAGTAAGGAATATGAGGAAAGTTCATAAAATGGTATCTATGTGGGAAGAATGGGATTTCGGAAACTTAATCACCGAATCAAAGACTTGGACCAGAAAACTGTTTTGGTCCATGGTCTAATTAGCTTCAAACACTGATCATGATTGGCGGCTAAAAGAAATCTCGATATCAAACAAAGCTTTCGAAAACCCATTGACCCACCATTAAAAAAACTATTTGTAATGTTGGTTTGCGTTTTGTGTAATAAATTATTAAAAGGCATAACCAAATGATTTGATCCTTCGTCTGGCAACGATGTTTTATGTTATATATTTTTTACTTTTATGTTGTCAATACGCTTAAGTAGGTAGAGTCATCATTGAAATAAACCAGGTCAGATTACAAGCAAAACAACTGACAAGGAATACGCATAAAAGATAAAACACAGAGACGTTGACAAAGCCTTTAAACTAGTTAATCATTGCTGTTATATGCAGTAAAGGCAATTTTTAATGTACTTCTCAAAAAGATAGGCACGGAATTAGAGTTTCGAGTATTCATAGAAAACAATATACAATAAAACAGCGAGCTCCCTTGTAATGAACTAACTATGATGTTAGCAAAGTTTCTGAAAGTCTACAAGGATATGCCCGCAACTAGCCTGTTTCCAGGTCGAGCTCCTTTCTCTGTGATTCGGATATCAGGTGGAAGAGATATAGAAAGACTCCACACTTAATCCTTCCTGTAGGTTGTCTCCTTCGAGTCCTCGTAATCTTCACCAGTAAATAGAGTAAAATGTCGACCCAGCATTTTATCTAAAGCAAAGACTTCAGAGAACATGCCTAGAGGTTTTATCTAAAGCAAAATTTAAAGGTTCCTTCTTTTCTTTTTCTTTTTCTTTTTTTTTGTAAAAAAGGATAAAGCTATGGGACATAATTCCCGTCAACTTCAAAAATTTCTTCCCTAGTATGTCCATCTCTTACAGTATCTAGCCTCCCCTTGTCCTTGAGGATTTCACTCAATGATTTTGGACACTGGAAGTCTGCTGATGCAGTTCTGCCTGAATGCCTCATTTTCCCACCATTTTCATCAGTTTTCCTCTTCTCTTCTCTAATCTGGGCAAGGGTCTTGGGACCTGTAAAAGCAGTAGATGCATCTGTGGATTTCCTCTCCCTTGAAATTAGATTTCTAGAAACTTCAGATGAAACAGACTTTCTTCTAGGCAGCCTTTTTTCCCTATAAGGCCGCCTGTTGGAGAGATTAGGCTCCAAGCGCTTAAGCCAGCCATGCCAGTTGGCACCATTGTGAAAACAACCTTGGTCTCCCATTGATTCTATAGAGTGCTTCCCCACTTTTGATGCCTATCTTCTCCTTAATTTCCAATCCATGCTATGCCTTGGAGGCCTTTCCCAACTTTGACCAATCAGATGAGAATATTCAGATCTTCTTGACAAACAATTAAGAGGATTGCCCTTGACTACCCTGCGTTTCCTCAAATAGTCTCTAAGATCCATACCAATCTGTTTACCAATTGACAGTTCAACAGGCAACAGTCTTTTTCTCTTCTCGAAAAATATGGAATCCAACCTTCTATCTCTGGGGTGGGCAGAAGGATTCCTCACATTATCAAAAATATACTCGTTGTCTGAACCCTCATAAGCATCATAGACATCTAGATCATTCGAAAATTCTAAATTGGGGTAACTAGTCTCATGCTGAACGGAATCTTCATAATCATAACTCAAGAAGTGCTCTCTCTGCTCTCCATCAGGGCCCAGTAGATATTCTGAATCATTCTCATAATCCAAATCCTCTGATTTGTTATCCACAAGAACATCAAAACCTGGGGAGGACTCCAACCACTCCTCTGGCTCAACTTGGTCATCCATTTGCTCCTCTGAACTTTCATCCGTGCATGTTGGAGATCTGCTTTGAGTAATGCCTTTTTTTAGAAGCAAGGATTGTGACTTAACAAAATCAGCTTGTCCTAATTCAGAAACAGACGTTTTTGGAAAGACACTCTTCTGTATCATAGTTTTGGGGACTGATTGTTGGTGGTCCACTTTAAGCTGTGCATCCATGTCCTTGCTAGATATTGAGGCTGTTTTCGATGGATTGGGATGTGTTTCTGTCGGAGCTGCTCCAGCATCAATTTCTCGGGATGTCTTATAGTCCAAGGGTAGAACATCAGTCTTCAAAGATTTTCCAGTAACGGCACTGTCATCAGGACCATGCAGAAAAGAGCATCTGTCACCTTTATTGCAGAAACCATTGAAGTAAAAGTAACAAGGCAAATTTGTCTTGTTTGATGGTGCAGAACATTGGTATGGCAATGCAGCAGATTCAGATGACACTCCATCCAATGGCTGTGAAAACAGAAGAATTTAGTTCATATGACTTCACCAAACAGACAAGCAATAATTAAAATAAGTCAAGAATATAATTAACAACTCATTCAAAAATGAGGAAAAAATAAATATAAGAGGCTCCACCATAGTCAAAAGGCTAATGCATCAAATAGGAAGTTTAAGATAGATCTTAGATGTCAAACACCAGGTACCAGTTGTGAAGGTGTTTTATGGCCTACCCTTTTCACTGATAATTGCTTCTCATGCTCCATGTTTAATGTTTGCAGATAACCAAACATGATGAGAATCGGAAGCAGATAGTGGATATACTAAAAACATATATCCCCATATTTCTTGTAAATTGATTTCATGCTAACAATAAAGGACACATAAAAGTCTTTCAAGGATTTTCTTTTTGTCTTAAAACGAATTATTTATCAAAATATTGTAACATAGAGGAGATTGCAACAAACATATATGTCAAAATGCAAGATCAATATCCAGGGAACATATCAAGTAACTGATCCAAATATACAATACTATTATGACACCTTTTGAGTTGTGTCCATGCAAAATTGTCTTCTAAAGCTGCAACTCATGATAAATTCAACAGTTAAATTTCCAAAACAGGCAAAAATGCGATTCGTACACAATATATCAGTCCAACAATCAATATGAACTTATTAAAACAGCATATGAGCTCACAGGATGCCGAAAACCACAAGCTGGATTAATACAATTCCCAGCCAACCAGTACCAGCAGTCCCTCGGGTTGAGCCTGGCATTTTCACTATGCCGGTACTCACAATCAATACCCTGAACAAAAAGCCAAACAAGAAGATAGAATAAACTAAGAATGGGGTCATTCTAAAACAATGGAAACACCAACCCATAAACGCCAAACGGATTGAACAAAACAAAAACGTTTATATACCAAAAGCTATGTATGTACATTTAGTATCATCAATGTTTTTGTACACAAAATTCTTAAAAACAAACCAAGAAAGATGCCTAACAATTTCCAAGTAAAGAAACAGAAACAAAAAAAAAAAATCTAAATTATTAAAAAAGAAAAAGCATGAAAATTAAGATGGTTCGGGTTCAAAAATAAACCCTAAATATTCAGATCCTTGAAATGCAGTACCAGAAACATATCGCATTCCAAAAATACAAAAAAAAAAAAAAAAAAAGAACCGAAAGCAAAATGCGTGGTGGAAATTGGAAAGTGTGAAAGAGAGAAAAAGCTCAGTTCCAGAGAACAAAACAACACAAAAAGAAAAGAAAAAGAAAGAGTGATTTGGGTTTGGGTTGAACCTTCTTGCAAGTGAGAGGAGAGGCTAAGAAATAAACACAATCGGTGTTACGTTTCAGCCATTCTTCCTCCATTTTTTTTATTTATTTATGCTTTGCATGAAATGAGAAGGCTCCCTCTCCTTATATAGTTGGAAAAAAAAAAAAGTAAAGAGAGAGAGAAAGAGTGACAGAGGAGTGCTTGGGTTTATAAATTTACATGGCGGAAAACCGGAAAAAAGAGAGCCAACGATAACGGGACAGCCTCAGAAAGAGTGTGAGAGAGGATGACTTTTTTTGGGCTTGAATGCAATTTCAAAACGTTTGTTTGTTCCCCGAGGACGTACACTTGGCTTTTTCATTAGCTGCTACTATTTTTTTTTTAAGTTAATTTATTTTGTAAACATCATTTATTAAATAAAAATGTTAAATATTTTATAAAAATTGTACATGAACATCACACAACAAAAATAATTGATAAATCTTAAACAGTTTTTAAGATTCAAATAAAAACATATTTTTAATTTATATTAAAAAATATTGATAATAAATACTAAATACATAATAATATTTGCAAATGCTATAAAATTTGATAATATTTATCAATTCTATGTATATAAATTGATATAATTAATAGATTAAAATTTAAGTTAACATGATATATAATTTAAAAATTCAAAATGCAAAATTTGTATTTTTTTTCAAATTTTAGATATTAAATACGCAATTATTTTTTTTTTTGGAGAAAAGAGAGATAACCTTTCTCAAAATTGTGATCATAGTAATTCTCACTTACCCACAAAATGGATCCATCAAAACAAACAACTGGCCAAATTTGGCACCATCTGATTCAGACATAACATCAACCCACAAACAACTGATTGCAGGGACTTTCTAAAGATCTTTTTATCATGATTTCACTGCTACAAGCGTTGACAATGTACTATTTTACATTGTATATGACTAAAAAAAATTATTTGATACCATGGGCTTTAAATTCTGCCTCATCAGTGTTCTTTCGGGAAACATTTATTACCCAAAATTTATGTTCAAACCAAACCATGTGAGAGTCATCTCTTCAAATCCTTGAATGCCTCCATATTTCAAAATTTGTAAACCATTTGCTCAGTGTATCCGAGTTCTTTAAGTATGCCAGTTAGCTACAGTTCAAGGAGGGTTAACATAAGATAAGAAATTTGGGGTAACAATTAAGAAAGGAGAAGAAACCACAAAAATGTCTTTGATACCTCTCCTTGTGAATAGTCTTTAGCCTTATCACCGGATATGTGTTCCATCATCCCAGGTGGACCGCATACCTGAACAAACAGGGAAAAGAACAAGGGAAAGTGAGTAGGCAAGGTATATCTATATGTCCTATTTGTTTCAGATGGCGACAATCTTGTTGCTGCATATCATCCAGGTAATCTCTTATGATAGGGGAGTTAAAAAATGCCAAGTTTTAGGATTATGGCATTTTCCAAAACCATAACCTGGTTTTCAACAAGAAAGTATCAGAATGTCATGCACAAGTCTGAAACTCTAAAATTTAAGCAACAGTGACTATCTGAACAATTAGATTAACCCTGAAGAGAGTTGCAATAACGGACCAAAAGAACAAGCACATGTATGCCCATGGAAAAGCCTATTCCTCAGGTTGGTCTTAGTCTCATGATACCTCGTCTAAGGAAGCAACAGCTGAGAAAATAAAAGTTTGAGTGCATGTTTGTGAGTGTTTAATTTTTTCTGTCTTTACAAATGGAATCAGAAAAAACAAGACTCTGCTTGTTGAAATTGATATCAGTTTTTCACCAAGACTAAGCAAGAAATGCCAAATAATGGGAACAAAAATGTATTTACTATTTTCTGGAGTTGAACTAATGTTAAAGAAAAAGGTGCCTTCCACCTCAGATAAAACTTACACCACACCTTGGCAAACAGAATAAAAGAAAATTGGTCGAGATCCAGAAGTAAGAAAGTGACTTACAAGGATCAGAGTATCTTCACCAGGACCAGGTAAGCCTTTTTTTACCGTATCCTTTGAAATGTAACCGGCACCTCCTTTCCAATTTTTTGATGGATTATCCACAGTGTAGAATACCTAGGGAAAAATTTTAAAAAAAAAAAAGGACAGAAGCAAGTTACTATTTGAAGAAAATGTCTACCTGCACATTAATTATTTCATCATGAAAGAATTGTACCTTAAGATTTGGGTGTGTAGCAGCAAGAATATCAAGCTTCTGCTTGAGCAATATATCATCTGGGGAGACATTCGCATAAAGCAGTGACACCTGTTGGAATAAAAGTCCAAAACATGCTCACATTTGATCTAAAATAAGCACTAAACAAATGATAGTTGACAACAGAAAGAAAGTTATGGTTACAAATCTAGCAATCAAATAAGGTACCTGAGTGTTGTCATCAGGATTCTTCATTATAGCCTCAATTACCTGAAGCATTGGAGTTATGCCTGTCCCACCTGCAATCTGGAAAAACAGCATATAATTGAGTGCAAATGGAGATCAGACTTTTCAATAATCTTGGAAAACATAATACAGCTATAATAATTAATCCTGATTACTTAGTAGATGATTTGATTGAACATGCAGAAAGCATGTTTGCAGAAGTGATAACTGTAGAGAACATAAAATATAACATTGGATGAATTTTTGGCATTAATTATACGGTAAAAGCGGAGGTATTGGACCCCAGCTAGTTACTCACATTACACTAGTAAAAATAAGTATTGAAAAGTTGGTAAAAAAAATGTGCAGGAAAATTTGAATCCTTTAGCTGTTAAGTGTACAATTTCCCTAGAGGTTTTGCTTCTTTGTGGGAAAAATGAACAAGAAACTAGAAAATCAGCTCTAACCATGCCAATGTGTTTCTTCATATTGGGAGAATATCTGAGCTTTTCAATGGGCCTGCAAGAGAGAAATGCATCCAGTTTAAAGATGGCATGTAGTGAGATCTCTATGAAAACTACCATATATGAATACCTACCCTTTCACTTCAACTACATCACCTGGTTTTAAGCTAGCAAAATGCTGACTCATTTTTCCTTCCGGATACACCTGCAATGTTTATTTTTAAGTAATGCACAAAGCGATTCACAAGTGTGGCATTCCATGTTTGAGGCAAGAACATCTTCAGAAGTGTGAGAAAAAGAGGAGGACAAAGAGGTGAAGGCATTTATCACTTCATACCTTTATTAACAAGTCAAAGTATCCCTTAGCATCTGGGTCCGATATAGGAGTGTACCTGATGGTTGAAGTTATTCCAATATGATTATATGAGCAACTAATATCTGCTAATTGCAGAACAAGTAACAAGTAAGTTGAAATATGATTTTGTACACAACAAACTCAACTTAATCTTTTGATATCTGCATCAATGAATTTGGTGAAGAAATAGGTATAGTAAGTTTAGTTTTGTCGAGAAGAAGCATATGAAAAATTAATTTTAAATCATGTCAGACTTGCACTCCACCTAAGCTCTTCCACTAATCTGATTTACAGCTAATTCCTTTGGTGATTAAACAGGATTATTTTAATAAAACTCAAGAGAAGTTATAATATCCATTATATGAATACTCAAAAATAACAATCTCAAAGGTAATTTCAATTAGGGAAAATAGATGCATATGATCCTCATATTGGGGTATTTTCCTCGTTCTTCTTTGAAGCCTTCTATTTACAGACTATTATACAATGTTACTTGGAAACTTTCATCTCTTTCAATCTTCATGAAGCGAGTCATAATCTAGACCTTATATAAGAGGTATGTATAAAGCAAAGATTTAGAATTTATCCCCTCACAAGCAGATGGTATTTACCACAACAAAAAAAGAAGGAAATAGAAATATGTGAGAAATGCAGTTTAAACCATGGAATACAAGTGAAATAACCTAAAAACTTTAAATGACTAACAAATCACCAATTTAGAATAATTTCCATGAAAAGCAAATTCTCTAATCAAACCATTTATGAGTTCAATATGTAGGCTTACGGTCTTATGACATATTTTGTTTTTCCTTCACCATCTTGTCCTAATGGAGCCCTGCAGTAACAAGAATGCATCAAAATAGTGAATGTACAGGCAGAGTAATTCAAAATCTCATCTAATATGTCCCCCTAAATGCAAATTTCAAAATCTTTCACAAAAACCATAAGGATTCTAATAAGCAACTCCAATTATAAAAAGAGAACATACCTTGTAAGGATGCATGAAGCGACATCTAAACCCAACTTAGCAGTGGGATCAAATGAAAACCTGTCATTTTGTGAAGAAAGTTAAAAATGAAGGTATGTGTTCTAGGACAACTTGAGGAGGAATTTAACAATGCAAAAGCTTCTTTTAGATGTTGACTTCAAATTTGGATGAGCAAATTATGTATGGAGTTAGTTGTAATTTTTTCACTCTCAATTAGTATGGATTAATTTCCTTTTCCCATGTTTTGTTCTATTTGATAGTCCAGAATCCAAGAAACAGTAGTCTTCCCAATGAAGCACAAAATCAATGAGAAAGGTCAAAAAGATATTTAAGTGCAAACCAAGGGGTAAAAAGCAAATCTTATCTATTTACATTATCCTATAACTCTCAAACTTTTGTTCATAAAAAAGATTCATGCAAATGACCATGTTATTAATATAGATTAAACCATTATAATATATGACAATGATTGATTAAAACATATATACCTGAACAAGTGAGTGTTGTGACTAACCCTTGCAGTATCTTGCAACTTAAATTCAAGCCACTTATCAGACTTCAGAGCTGAAATGTTTGAAAAAAATTCTCCCGAGCTAGTCAATAGAAGAAGGATCAAAAGAAACTAAAGCAGATATTTTATCATTTATGCAACCACTTTCAACTTTATTATTGACTAATATTCTCCCTAGTGAGGGGAAGGGGATGACAGATTTCACGGTTCAACTCAATTTTGCAATTCAGTCATCTAATAATGAGGAAGTCTAGTAAATTTGTGCCCACCAACTTTTGGACCTGTCTCTTCGTTGATTTGATCCAGATGCACCTGTAATCGGAAGGAATAACAACATAGTTACACAATTTGGAATGTACACTGAAAAGTTATAACGTTACAATTGCAAAAAGGCTCACATGTGTAGGCCACATTACAACTACGTTAGAAGTTAATGGCAAAATCAGACATGAACCTCAAAAAATAATGTTCATCAAGAAAACCAAATCACCTAGAGAACACATTGTAGGACCCAAAATAAACCACAAATTTGAATTTAGAACTCATAACTATCAACATCCAACATTCATTTCGATATCCAAACCTCCCTGAAAACAATTCATAGTGAAAAACCATTCCCAGAAAAAAAAAAAAAAAAGGGAAAACGAATCACAACAAAGTCCTACCAGTACATTTCACCATTTAAGAAACACATTCAAAATGAAAATATAAGTAAACCCATTACACTAAACACAAACCCTTCAACTTCCAAGCATCCCACATTGCAACAAAGATCAAAAGAAACAAAACCCAGATTGGAATTCTAGAAATCTCACCAAATTCGACTCCGAGAAGCAATAGTAAGTGGAGATTCCACCGGCGACGGCTGCGATTGCTGCGAAGCGAAATCCAGCAAAATCTGACTTCGGTTGACCTCCAAATGCATTGTTGAAGGAAGCTGGAGTGGCTTTGGCGAGTCTCCTAAAGAAGGTAGTAGCCATTTTGTTTCTTTTTAATAGAGCAAGCAAAGTACAAAATGTTGGCTCTTTTCAGTGAGGGTTTTTGACTTCTATAGAGATTGTAGAGAGCTTTGACCAAAGTTTAATTATTGTTGTGTATTTTTTTTTTTAATTTCTAATTTACCCTAAACCTTCTATCTAAATCCTTCACCCTATTACATAATTAACTGAAAAAATTATTACATGTTTAAATTTTTTTTGAATCCATAATTTTTAAATATTAATTTTAATAATATATTAACTGATTTAAAAGATAGTCGATATTATTATATATTTTTTATTTTGTGTTTAAGACACTTTTTAAAGTTACTAAATATTTTAAAATGCATTTAATAATTTATTTTTGAAAATTACTGAAAGATATATTTTCAATGAAAATATTAAAATTTTGAGTAGCTAAGAGTTTGATATTGTAAGGTCAATTTTATTTAAAAAGAGTTATTTAATTACATTAATGTTATATTTCTTCCTTTTAATCATTCATTACTTTTTAACTTTTACAAATATAAAATACTTATAAAATCATATCTTTTAATTATATATTCAATAAATGATTTAAAGTTTATTATATCAAATAATTTTTATTTTTATAGCAAAACTTCCAATACTTAATTTTACATTATTAAATATTTTCAATTCATCATACAAACACCCATAGTTTTTATAATAATATTTTTATAAGATTACAAGAAAAAAAATTACAATCCAAAAAAAAGCAACATATATGATATAATCATTACATAAAAAATCAATGAAAAAACTAAATAAATCAAGAAGTCAATATAAAAACTAGAGGTCCTTGGTTAAAACCTGGTCTCAAATAATATTTACTGATCTAACTTACTTTTGCCAATAATCATGCAATTTTTAGTAAAATATTAAAATTTTACTTTTACTAATCAATGTTCAATTTTTTACAGCCATAATTATAATATAAAAATTTATAAAGTTGTACCAACAAAAAGTTAGCTTAATTGGCAAAGATCATTCACCTCGACATACAATTCTGGGATTTAAATCCAACAGATATTGAAACAATCTCAAATGCACCTTTTTCAACTATTGTTTTTTAATTTTTAAGCTGTCGAATAGATATAGCAATTGGAGTTTTCCTACCAAAAAATATTTACGAACTTGTGTTTATTGACTTCAACATAAGACGAGGCCTCTTTAACTCTGTATTAAATGTTGTAGTCGACAGAATAACAGTAGAAATGTACAGGGATTCGGTTACTAGACATGTCCATGAATTGAGCAAACCTTCAGGCCTGTGTGCAAGAATTTTTAAGCTGAGGACCCGGCCAGGCCTTCAATGAGATTTGAATGATAGGAAGTGTAATGAATCTATGTTGAGCATTGAATCCAAATGTCGATTACACAAACAAAATGGTAAATTTTACAGAGAGCAATATCCTCAAATAAAATGGGGAACTGCTTTCATTCATTTGAAAGATTATTGATATCTTTCTAATTTACGACAGCAGAATTTCTGGTGTTCCGAAGAATCCTTGGAAAGGAAAAAGGACAAACCCTCCCTCAAAATGAGGACGAAACGCATTGGAACAAGCACAAAGGATCCGCTGCAGCCATTGGAAAAGAATGAGAATGCTAGAGCTTTGAAATGAAACTGCTGTGCTGCTTCAATTCAGCTTCAGCACCAGTTGGTGGATGGTGATTAACCCAGGCAGAGATGAGGTGATGGGCGATTGCAAATGGCCCTGGAATAAACATGGGAGCAAGCTTCCCACTTTCCACAATAAAATCAGCTGACAAACTATGCCCCTTCTTAACTCCCTTGCAAATCTGATCTACTTTAGCCGCAGCTCTTCTCTGTGCCTTCTTGTATTCAGCAAATGCCAATGCTTTCTTCACATCTTCTCTACCGTGCCACTGAGCATCTAGACAAACATAAAAGTGTCACCATTGTTACGATTTTAAACCCGAATGAATAAGTACAAAATGTATGGAAACTATTGCTTTTCAAGATTTTCTGCACCAGGTCATCCGACAGAGCAAAAGCCTTCTTTATAATCTGTCATCAAACCCACATGACTATTGCAAATTATCGAAATCCATATCCTTCATAATGATTACTGAATCCAATGCATCATAAAGTTGGTTCCTCTAGAATTGAGTTTTCAAAGTGTTTCCACTCTCCATATGTCCTATGTATTAACCATTACGACAGTTTTTTTTTCAACAGAGCCCCCATTGAAAAACCATTAACAGCACTATAAAACACCATGCTTCCCTACAGTGATAATTAGGATTCAGGATGGCAAAAGTCTAACCAACACAGCACAGGTGCGTTGACTACTTAGTTTTCCAGGAGTGAAGAAAAAAGAACAGAAGAATTACATAAAAAAAGACTGAAATTTTTGTTTTCTATGTATTAAGCATGGTTTAAACAGCACAGATGTAATGACTACTTAGTTTTCCTGGAGTGAAGAAAAAAAAAAAGAAGAATTACATAGCAAAAGGACTGAAATTGTGTTCTTAAAGAATAAAGCAACCAGAAAAGAAAATGTAAATGATATCACATTTCTGAATGTTCAAGTACCTTCTAATTCTTCCTTATCCACATTTATGTCAAGAGATTTTGCATATGCAAAGAACCCGACCATCAATTGGCATGGTATGCTACTCGGACCAACTGACAACAAATCAGATTAGTAATTTTAAAAAGTAACAGGTGTTAATATGCTTAAATAAAAAAGGGTATGGGGAATGCATAAACATTGTGCAGACTGCAGACATTTTGCAAGCAATTAAAAAAAGGAAAATAATACAAGGCTTTATAAAAATAAAAAGACGCTTACAAAACAGAAAATTTTCTATGACCATTTCAAACCAGATTTTCTGTTTCTAATTTCCACATGATGGGCCAGAATCCAGTCAAGTATATTGGAATGCGAGAAAAACAAAAAGGAAAAGTGAAAGGAAGGGGAACACAAGCATCATGACCCACACCGGCATACTGATTAAAAAATATATATACAGAATATTAGCTAACCACCACAAGTAGTAATATCTGGCTGGACAATTTAAGTCTAAACTACCATCAGCATATAAGTTTCCTATTAAGTATTACTGTATCTCCCTTGACAAAAAACAAATCAAATATAAACCACAGCAGAACATAGCAAAACATGTTATTCATCCAAACAATCTTGCAGAATGATACCAGGCCATGGCTGAGAACTATGATAGACAACTTCACCAACTTCAATACTGGTCTCTTCATATGTTTCTCTCCTCACTGCTTCTTCCAAGCTTTCCCCTGGCTAAGGACAATAGAAGATATCAAACAATGAAATCGCAGAAATAAAGGTGAGATTGCTTCCTCTTTCATATTTAAGATATTCTTTAATCTTACAAATAAGAGGTAAAACCTGATAAAAGTTTGAAGTTCTACCTCTACGAATCCAGCTAAGCAAGTCCACATTCGAGGTACAAATCTGGATTGTTTACTTAAAAGTGCTCGATCATTTTCTCTATCAATGACCAACATAATGACAACCTATTTTCAAGAAACATTAGTTAGAGAGAACAAAAAGACACCCTACAAATCCTCTATATTAAAAGTTCAAAGTTCAAACATCAATTGTAGAAAATAAGAGAAATGCTTTACTGGATCAACACGAGGGTAAATGGACTTTTTGCATAGCTCATTGGAGCATTGTTTCCTTCTCCCAGCTTCCTTGGGAACTGTTTTCTCTCCACAATGTCCACAAAATCGTGATAGATTATGCCATTGAAGCAATGCCCGTGCCTGATCAAATGTAATAAGCATGTAATAATAAAACTCTAGCAAAAAAAAAAGATGCAAAAAATGACTAACAGTAGACAAAACTTAGCAATGCCAACTGGATAATATTTCAACTGCCTCTTCCATTTAAAATATCAAGAATCTTTTTAATAACAATGAAGCTTCAAGGGCAAAAACAAAAATTAAGAACACAAAACATGATCCAATTATGAATCTAAAATCACGGCTTTTCTCACTTACATGACCAGCAACAGCCAGTTCACCCATAGCCAAAGAATCAGCCCAATCAGTAGCCACCATCAGGGTCCTCAGCTCCACAAAGCACAACTGTCTGCTACTCAATTCAGGAACCAATCCACCTTCCTCAGAAACATCAATAGCCCAATAAACAACACCCTCTTCGGCTCTTGAACCCAAATAAACCAAAGACTCCTCATTCAACTGGACCCCACACTTTCCCAAAATACCCTTACAATCAGGCAAACTGATCCAGCCCAGATGCCAACTTGGCACAACATCATCCCCGGTAACAGAAGAAGAAGCCAAAGGCCTACCCCTTCTGAAGGGCAAGACCTTGAAAAGAGGAGACTTTAGAGGAGTGTGGTTTTCTGGGTTTTGGAGGAGATGGGTTTTGAGGGACTCAAAAGCTGAAGAAGAGGAAAGTGGGTCATGGCGTTTTGGGGTTTTGGATCTTAAAGGGTTGCCAGCAAATGCATGGGAATTAAGCTTAATGGACATGGTGGATAGAGACGAAAACGATGGTCCCTTTTTATAGAGTTAGGATTTTAGATAGGAAGAAGATAAGAGTGAGAAAGAGAGAATCAGAGACCGGATAAACTTGGTCGTTGACATTTATGAGAGACAGAGAGAGAGAGAGAGAGACGGGGGTAAGTACTAGGTGATGACTAAGGGCTTTGATTGATGACACGTGTCGGTTTGAGAACATTGCATTTTCATTTGGGTCCCTTGCTCATCTCCCGCCCAGCTACCACAGCGAAATTCCCAGTCATTATGGGAAAATCTCGTGAGCTTTTTCCGAGTCGTGTTTACAATAATTAGTAGTCTGTGCAATCCACGAATTATTATTTTTATAAATATAAATAAAACTATACATAAAATTATATTTTAATAAAAAATATAAATTATATATATATATATATTCAAGTGACATTTAAAAAAAGTAAAACTAATAAAATAAGAGCGTAAGTTTGAAGAGCAAAGAATATTATTGACCACCGAATGTGTGTACTTGACCATCTTTGATAGGGACGGCAATCAATTCCATTTCAGACGAATTTGGGTTCGATTTGATTTTATGGGTCAAATTTTTTTTTTAAATTTTAATTTTCGAATCAAATTGAGTATAATTAGAGAATAATCAAGATGAAATTAAATTTGAATATGTCTAAAATTTAATTCGATTCGATATTATATAAAAAATTATTTTTTAATTAATTAATTATTTATATATATTTATATAATAATATTTTTAAATATTTTATATTTAAAAAATAATATTTTATTAATTTCAAATCGAATCGAATTTAATACGATTTACATAATATCGAATTCGAGTATTAAAAAAATCAAATAAAATCAAATTTAGATATACTAAAACATAAAATCGGATCGAATTTTAAGTTAATAAAATCAATTCCGGACTCGACCGATGCCATCCCTAATCTTTGATCATCTAATTCGTGATCATCTTTGACCAAAGCTGACTCTGAAACTCTATTGAAGTATCCGTTGAATATTTGTTAAGCGAAAGAAAAATATAGAAAAAGATTAAGGATAGAAAAAAAATAAAGATAAATTGAACAAATGGAACAAAAAATTACGAATGGGTTACGCCATTAATTAAACTTGATCAAAGTATAACCCAAAAAAACACTAAACAATAAATTTTCTTTCTAATTTTCTTTAAAAAAAAAAATTGAGGTTGAATAGTGCTAATGCTACTTCGATCATATTAATACTAATGCCGGTGGAAGTTGGAATATTTAGGGTTTTTAAGGAGATAACATCATTCTAATTATCCTATATCCCTATCTACAATTTATTTTAGGCCCTTGCCCCATATCCACACTCGAAAGGGATGTCATCATATCTCCAAACCATGTTGAAACCTACATCAGAGTTAAGAATTGATGCTGAAAATAACAGAGAGCAAACTGATCATCAAGCATCCAATTCATTCCTATGAACCAACCATGCATTGTGTTGGTAGAACCAAAGTGGTCACGGTTCACTACCATTCATGAATACAGCGACACGTAGCTAAAGAAAAGAAGGAAGAGGCTTAATTTGCAAGTGAACTGAAAAGCTGGTTCTCCATGTGCATAACTCAGTGGTCGCAGCTAATCGGGTTAGATGATAAAATTGTTGTAATAATAAGTTTAAACAAAAAACATCTAATGACTAATCGTTTATTCATTTGCTGCGTTAAAACAACAATAATTGTCTTAGTTTGATTAACTTTCACTTTCTTGTACATATAAATATTAAAATTTATATATTTATATCATATTTTATATCAAAATTACATGTAATAATTTATATCGACATAAAAATATAAAATATATATTTTAAATTTTATTAAACGTATATATAATTATTCGTATCGATATGAAATTATAAAATATATATTTTTTAATTTTGTTAAATTTATATATTATTATTACTAAAATTTTCAACCGTTACTTTTGTGTTTTTTTTCATATTGTGTTATCATATCATATTTTAAATTATCAAATTTAACTTTTATGATAAAAACAAAACCTCTAATTTTTGCTGGATTTAACCTTTTATTACTAACTAAAAGTGTTGTCTTATATAAATTGAGATTTTCTTTTCCAAGTGAAGTCAGGAACGACCAACAATTCTATTTCTAAGTGTTTTAAAAATATGTTTCTTTACTTTAACTATTATTTTCAAGATCATGTCAAAAATGCATTTGCATGATTCTTTGAATATTCTCTTTCTTTTTTTTTTATTTTTAGAAAATTTTATTTGTCAATGCCTTTGTTTTCCTCTCGTAGAGTTGTATGAAACAGAGAGGAATACCATGTGCGAATCTTAGACAACTAAAAATTATTAGACATAACAGGCTTCTTGATTTAGCACCATAATTTTCCATGACCAGGTTCCAAATTAAGTGGAAAGTGAAAAAAGGAGCAGCACCGCATTGTTCCCCTGTACTGGAGCCCTGGACCCCCTCGATATGATGTAGAACTGGTTCACTTGTAATTGGGGCACTTAAACATCTTAAAGAATAACGCCAAAAGTAGCCTAGGCCAAGCCAATCCCAATAAGAATCTTGTGAAAAAGATAGATAATGGAGGGCAGGAAGGAGACAATAAAGTATGTGTAGTTGATTTTTTTTTTTTTTTTTGGGTATTTAAGGTTTTTGAGATTTGAATTTTAATATTTTATTAATAGATTATACTATTATTAAATACGTAATTCTTTGTATTAAACTGTAATAACTATAAGCACACTGAAAATTATATTTTGATTTATGATTCAAATATATACATATAAATTTTAGAATTCGAACTTCTATTTAAGGAGATTACTTTGTCACAAATTTAAAGATGAATATTGACTCTCATATCGAATATAAAAGAAAGATTATTGGGATATAAAAGAATTCATATCATTTATTTCTTGTGAAGGATCTTTTGTAGGATAAAATCGTAAGATCAATGCGATCAAAACGGATAATACCTCACAAGGATGTGAACCGTGACAGTCAAGCTGATCTGAGACGTCGGATGAGTGGATGCGTGGATCTTGAAGCCGCGCAGGTTTGAAACTTAAGTTTTGACCCGTGATAAGTGGTATCAGAGTTAACCTTAAATCGTTTGATTTACGTCAAACACCTCGAAAGATATAGACAGAATGACCAGCCTCAATCACTTCCGTGAGAAAAGCGTCATGAAGTTGAAAGCCAAAGGATTAAAATGGACAATATTTAATAAAAATATAAATCATAATAAATAAATTGATCTGAGTCACCGAAAAAATAAATATCCGTTAAATCTCGATCCATGACAACTTCAGCTCTTTTCTGCCCTACTTTCCATTGAGAATGTAAAAGCCCTGTTGCAACCCCTGAAGTCTGCACCCCATGCCCTCTCCCTCTTTCTCCTGACTAAAAAATGCATAGATTTTTGGCTCAACTAGGAACAAAAAACATATGTTCTCAAGGAGCAAAGGACGGTCATTAAGCTGAAGAGTTTGGAAATTTGCAGTAGCATGCTTTGTGAACTTGGAAGGTTAATTTTTTTACCGTTTTTCCGTATTTAGATATGGGATAGGTTCAATGACATGGAACTCGAATCATTCTTCCAACGATGTGATTGCAAGTCAAATCAAGGGGTTTCTGACTTGAGAGCTAAGCCACTAAAATGAATGGCAAAAAATGATGAAGGGAAAAGTGGATTTGACTTGCTTTGATCTCGGCATTGCATCTATGCTTTTAAAGTAAGAGCATCTGGTTCTTTTATCTTCATAATTCTACAGATTTGATGCTTAAAAGGATCATAAATTATTGCTCATAGAGATTCCTTGAATCTTATTTCTGAGTTTCTTGCCATCTCAATTTTGAATAACTTTTATTGCATTGGTTGAGTCCAAAGCTAAGCTGGTGGTCCTTTGAATAAGACTTTGAATTTTTTTGATACAAAAGAGATTGCATATCGCAATATGAAGATAAAGAAAATTATTGGAAGTGTTGAGATTAAGACTTGAATTTATGTGTTGTATTAGCAACCATTGCCACTTTGCCAGTAGCTCTCCTTGGACCATCCCTAAAAGTAGTACTAAATTATGGATGTTTCCCACACTCACCATACCCAGGGAGGGATTAGAAGGATTTTGACATGCACTTAAAACATAGTATTTCCATTAAATTTTTATAAGAAAAAGGAAAAGAAAAATTAAGAGAAGAGATTTCAAAGCTTCATGTAGGAACACATGCACCACATGATAAAGCCGGAAACCCTTCCTCTGATTAGTGCAGTTACATGGCTATGCTTGGAAAAAAAAGCCTTCACCCTTGGTCAACCTAATTGTTATTTGACTCCAAGATATAAAACAAGAACCGGTGATGGAAGGATCAGAGGTGAAGAGAGATCAGTAACATTGCAAACTATTCTTCCTAAATTCCTAAGCACTACCTGAAAAGTAGAACAAAAAGGAAAAAAAAACTGTCAGGAACTTGACTGATAGCTTTTAATGGATTATGCATTTTCTTTGTTATGAGAAGATCAATGCTACAATGACTACCAAGATTTCTTACCAAAATCCCTTGGGGTCTTGCATTTGAAGCATTCCATCCTGCTAGCATAATTGTGAACTCCACACCCATATCTGTCCAAATGAAATTACAGTCATATTCACTTGGTAAGTTAGTCATATCAGATAAAGAACAAGGAGTCCATGTTATCATTATTATTCAAGTAATATATGTGAGAAAATGGTTATCAAATAGAAACAAATTTGAAGGACTGCATTGCCATGGAATTTTAAAATTATGATGAGTAATTTCTTGAAAATTTTATTTTTGGAAGATGAACACTATGATGGGAATTTAAAATCTGCTATCATTAATTTGAAAATTTTAAGAATGCACTATCATAAATGTCATAAACAGAGACGATGCAGGTTATGTGCGGAATTTTATGCCTGTGAAGAACATTTCCTGAAATATTTTTTACAGGGTTGTGGTCCATTTTCCTACTGTCACTTGAGACTAATAATCAAGCCATCATTTACTCAAAGCAAAATGCCAATGCGAACTCACTTGGTGCACATCCAGTCACCAGTTTTCCATCCAGGAGGGACACTCGATTCAGCGCCCATCATACTATAACCACCATAATTATTTTTCATGGTACCACATTGATGGCAGTTCGTTCTGCTAGCATAGTTGTGACTTCCACAGCTCATGGCAGGACAATACCAGTCCCCCGCCAGAACTTCTGTCCTGTTGTATAAGTAGCCTGATGCATCAGGGCCACCATACTTGGGATAGCCGCAGCGCTGGCATGCTTCTCTCTTCTTAAAATTCTGGTGTTGGCATGCTGCACACATCCAATCTCCTCCTGCCCAGCTCATTTTGATCCTGATAACTATTTCACAAAGCAGAAAATGAGAAAAAAGAAATCAGACCAGATTTTATTCTACTTCCAGATTGTTGTAAGTATCCCTATATAAGAAACAAAAATGAAAAATAGATACTTTCCAATGATCATGCTAATCTAAGCTCAAACCAAGCTCCTTTCACCTGATAAAATGTTTCCATAATTGTTGAATTCTAATGTTCTTTAACTAACTGAAACTGATGCAACTGTGGCTAGGACGAGGACTTTTATTGATGGCTTGCGTTCCAAATCAAGAAAAAATATTTGAAGGGCAGAAAACAAGCTAGATTGGAGAAGCTTACCTCCTTGAAAACAAGGGGCCTGAAAGAAAAGTAGTAGCAAGTGTTAGTCGTAGCTGAATTAATAAATTCTTGGTGCATTTGTTGATTTTTGGTCTTTGGGATGGAAGGGCTATATATACTTGTCAAGGCTTGATTTTTTGCTCTGTCATTTTTATTTTGGCGTCTTCATGGGATTCCAAAAGCAGACATATCTTTCATCTAAATATCAGGTTTAGATAAAATCTCTAGCTCCTCATAGTTCTGCTACTTTCACTATTCTTGGGAAGATAGCTTAGCAGTGCATGTGTTCATGCATACATTCAAAATAGAATTCCAAACTTGCCCCCTCTTTATGCGATTCCCTATCACTGTTACTGAAAAACAATGTGAAATATTATTCTCTTCTCATCCATATTGCTACCTCCAGCCAGGTGTTATGAGGGGAAGATGTTATTTGGATATGGAGGCTGCTGTTGGCCCCTTATTTTCCTAGATGAAGAAACCATCACTTTTTAAAGCATCGTCGAATTTAATTTAACCCTTTAATTCCTGATAATTTGAACGAATCAATCTTGAACTGTCCATATAGGAGTTTTCTTGCAAGTGATATTCACTTCTTAAACTAGAGAAAAGTACTAAGAATACCTTGTAGTATTAGATATCCTTTTTAGTGAACTCTGATTATTGCGAAACAACATACATTAAATTAAATCAACAAAATTATATAAGGATAATAATCATGTTGTCTGTTGATAAACTGCTATACTTTTAGTTCAAATGATAAAGATTCAAGTTCTAACAATCTCAAATATTTAAAAAAATCAATGTTGGAACATTCTTAATAATCTAAATATTAGCTCTTTCAATCAGTCCAAAGAATCGAATAAAATTCAACTATGGCTCAAAGATATTGTTATGGTGGTTCACTTCACCCTATTTCTCTCCCCACCCCCCCACCCCCAACATGGCACCATGACAACATTATAGCTTCATTTTATTCACAAGTCACCAGGATTGGTCATCCCACGTGCAAAGTAGATGCGCATTTCCACGTGTATAGACACATCACGCTCCTTCCATGTCCAAAGCTGATGTGGATGGACATGTCAGGTGCCAAAATTGGGGGGAGGGGTTTATCCAAGTCCAACTTGCCAGATATACCTTCCTTGAGCAGGCTTATGCAGTGCCGGTGCAGGTGGGACAGTTAAAAAGGTTAAGAAACATAAGAGAATTTTCTTTTTCATATATTTGGCATTTATTCTTTATAATGCACATCCATTGCAAAATTCCCTTTTATTTTCATGTTTCGATTCACTTTCTTGCAATAATTGAAAAGTCATTTGAAGATTCATATCAATTGGAGCCCTTTGCTCTGAATGCCCTTCAATTACTCTTTATATGCATGTTCGAAATGTCGCTTGACCTTGGTCTTCCTTTCTGCATCTCAAGGCATGACATGTGCACATACAGAATAGAACCTGATGTTTTCAATCAAACTCCCATATGTCTCTTATAGCCTGACGCGTGTGAAAAACAAACATGTGTCGTTAAATTTTTTAAAAAAATTTAGGAGAGAAAAAGGGAATGTTCTGTTTAATGTCAGAATGTCTAACTCGAATATGGTTTGCGGCGGATCGACGCTGGCGGGCTAGCTAGTTATCCGATAAAAGTAGCATGCCTACTGGAGTTGGGCTCCATTGCACATGAAACATTCGAACCTGTTAATGTAGTTTTTAATAATTGATGTGATGAGCTGCACTATTTTGACCTGCATAAATGATTCAATATTGGCAATGGCAAGATTCCTAAGGCACGTGGACTTTTGCACGCAGCATTCCAAAGAAGGTTTACCGAGAGGCATTGTTGACGGCAATTGAGTTCATCTACAAGAATTCAGTTGGCTTTATTTATGTGAATAAAGAATGGAAGGAAGAAAATTTTGTATTTGCAAGTTACAGGCCACCAATAGAATACACTTAATTAAATTAGTTTTATAAACCATTTTGCAGGGCAAACCCTCAGACTATGGTATGTGGGGTCTCTATTGATTGCATGGCAAACATATTCAACTCGAAATGGGCATAAATGCTTGCTTGTTAGCTATTACAGGTTTGATAAGGAGGAATCCTAATCACCATTTTTTCTTACCAAAAATGGTGAATATTCCTCGTAGAAAACCTTGGAACTGCAGCCACTCCAGCTTTATTCTGTGCTTGCGACTGTTTTTCAGAAGAGGGCCATCTCCCTCCAATAAAACTTAGAGAATCCACATCCATTGAGGGATTACTTTTGAATTTTAGAAACTCTTCCCCTTCCTTGCCATGTGAATTAAAATTTTCAGCTAGGTGGCAGCACTTAAAATTAAGAAGTAAAACCTTAATGATGATGCTAAATTGTTATCAGCAGTCTTCCTCAGAGCTCGTTCCAGATGCCTTGGACAGATCACATTCGATCAAAGTCTGAAATACTTTTTGGCTGTTAAATCATCCAAAGCTACTTGGCTCACCCAACAAATCTGGTTGGTGTTTGGTGCTTGATACTTTTCAAATCGCTTTGGTGGACAATTGGTTGGTGACCCTTCCAAGAGATGATAGATATTATGCTTGCAAAAGTTTCACCCCCTTCCTTAGGTGTCTTGTCCTCCATCTCTGGTAATTATCCCATCTTTCAAGATGAGAAAATGACTTGTAGCCCGGCATCTTTCCGACTTGCACCAATTATTGTACCAAATTACCTAGTGATTGTCAATCCATGTGGTGACACTGTTACATTAAGAACTGAATTAAAGTTCGAATTTCTAAAGGGATTGGATCAAGGTAATGAAATCGTAACCACTACCACTAAATATCTTAATCTACGACGTTAGAAGCCTTGCAAATACACCATATTTTAAAGCCAATTTAAAAGTTTCAGATTATCAATCAGACCAAATGTGGCATAGATTTGAACCCTTTCTGACAAAAGTTTTCTAGGATGTCTAAGATCTTGGTTCTCAATTTCAGCTTCATTGGATTCCATGATTTTTCGCTCATAGTTTAGAGTCTCCTAATTCACATCGATTCTTTGTCAAGAAATCGGTTGCATGTCTTAGGGTTTTATTTTTTTCATAATACATCTGGTTTTCCTGCTTCAATAAAAAATTTAAAGGGCACATCCAAATCCAAGGGGATAATTTGTCACTATCACTCATAAATACATGCACTCCAGAAGTCCAGATTTAAACGATAGATGTAAATGGAAGTGAATTTCTTTGTGCAGAAAGATCTGATCCTTGTAAATGAAAACCCATCTTTATTTATTTATATATAGACGATGGATTACATAGAAGCTGGGACAAATTGGCTTCTTAGAATACAAATTCTCCTTTTCCATCCCTTTTCTTAGCCAAGTGAACAGGAATGATTATGGACTATGGAGTACAACCCGAGTTTAAATCCAGATCAACTCAAACTCATGCCTCCATGTTAGGGGCATGCTTGAAGGAGTTCTTCCGTGCCGTAGCCAAAACAGTCTTGTCTGCAACTATAAAATAAGCAGCTCCACCCACTGTAATCGAATGGAAACTTTATTAACAACAGGAAATTATTACTAAAGGAGATCTTGATATACTGGTAAAAGGATGATAATGATGAAAACCTGAGGAGATTATGAGAGCTTGTGCGGCGTGATTAAGATTGGCTCTTGCCCAAGGCAGCATCCTTACACTAGCCAGCTGCATATGCATGTCAAACGCAAGGGATTGAAATGCTAGATTTAATCGTCTCTAACAAAAGAACGATCCATTACTACAATAATGAAGCTGTCTTTCATATACTTACAGTTGGAATGGCCGTGGCAATGCTAGCAACAATGGCTGCCTTTGCTCCAGCAACTACGCCCTCTGTTGGTGCAAAAGAAGAAACAGATCATCATTTTCAGATATTTTTCGTTTAAATAACAAAAGCAGTAGAATTACTTGATAAGATTAATCAAACCAAATCTAAAGCAATCATTCTCCCTAACCCTCAATTCTTGACTATCAGATGTTCAAAGTGCTATCTCCAATAGTAATTATTTTCTTTGAAACTGAAGCACTCACTTCATAATGTCAAAGAAGGCCCCGGGTCCAAGGATATCAGTGTCCCCAACCTTCAGAGATGGGGTTTTAATTTCTTTCTCTTTCGCATTAGTTAGTTGAGGATGGCAAATCTCAATAAAATTATTAAGATCCTGTTTACTCACTACTCTACTATTTAAGGAACGCAAGCATGCATGTTATGTCATGATGTTTAACATAAAGAAGTTACGATAAAAGTGCAAGTGGATGAAAATAGAAACGAAAAATATGATAGCCAGGAGAGAACTGAAACTGTGCCTGAAAAGGGTAAAAAAAAAAAAGATGAAGAAAGATAAAAAGGAAAAGGAAACTTACCACGAGAACAACGCTTTGCCATGGCCAGCTTTTGGTCAAGTGAAGTCAAGGTAACAGGTTGAGCAACATTTTTAGCCATTGTGAAAGAAATATGATATCAAACAAAAGAAATGGCAACAATGAAACAAGTTCGATGGTTTGCCTGAAGAGAATGTGAGAATTGCATGGGTATTTATGACGCAAAATCAGGATGATGCCTCAGGTGTTGGGGGTTTAGAGTTTGATGGTTTCACTTGAATTCTAGCGTCGGGGACACTTGTTTTCAGATTTCTCCTAATCAATGTCGGTTTGGTGACGCCGCTCTCTTCCCTATTTGTCAGTTACTGAAGGACAAAATGTGACTCCTACGGTGCATGTTCTTGTGGTGCAGAGAAAGAATTTCAAAATGAGGCAAAAAAATTAAAAAATGTTTTGCATTTGTTATTGTTAAGGGTACTTTTGGTAGAGGTGAGTTGGACGATATCACGGATAACGAGTTTGATGAGAACTGAATTTACAGTAAGAAAAGCTAAGGAGCGTTGGAATTTAATTTTTTGATATTCAAATTAGCAAAATCTAGAAAATTAGGGTTAAGAAAAAAAAAAGATGAATTGTAAAGAGTAACAGATAAAGTTTTAGAGAGAATGTTTAAAATAGTGCACCTAAATATTTTTTATTTTATATATGAGATATAG